GGGGGGCCTCTTTCAAAATTTACACTATTCGAGTATTTTACTCGTTCTTTGTCTTGGAGATGGAGATGGAGATGGAGATTTGTTCTTCTGCTGTGCTGCGCTTATCTTTCGGATAGTCTATTTGTGCTGTGAATCCCTATCAATTTTGCCTTATTTAAGTATCTAGAACAACACTCGTAGTTTACATCTACAATTACAACTACAACTACAACTACAATTACAACTACAATTACAACTACAAACTCAATAGATCAAGCTAAGCTAAGTCAAACATGCATCAGTTAGAGCAAAAGCAAGAGCTAGAGCTAGAGCTAGAGCAAGCTATAATGAGGGGAAGAGGAAGGGAGGGGGGGGTCTTTGTGATTGTGAAGTGATAGTACGAGTAGAACGGTTGGCTAATTTAGCGGTGAGGCCCTTAAGGTAAGATCTCTGTGTATTTTAGAGGGATCTTGGAGGAATATTTGAGAGTATGTTAAAGGGATCTAAGAGAGAGATTCTGGTATATTTTGTATGTGTTGGGTTATGTATAATACTGTATATTTGGTAGACATTCTCGTTTGATTACTGTAGTGGTAGGGGCATGTGGAAACGAACGATGTGAATCAAATAAAGATAGAAACCTCGAACGAATGTTCAGATTATGTTTATATATTTACGGCAGGTTTGGCAGGTTTCACCATTTTCATATTTGAGTAAAACCTATCTATCTTAGTAGTATTCTATTCTATAATAGAATGCTAGACTTTTCAAATGAAGAATCTTAGAATCTCACTATATAGTTATTGATTTATAATTATAATTCATAACAAACAATCCCATTAATTTCATCACAGCTACTCGTATAAACCTTACACCTTACTATCTATATATACTCGAGTACTCGAATATAATAATATCACCAAAAAGAAAAATGCCTCAACTCATCTCCTCCCTTTTAAGATTACAAGAATTCCTCGATTCCAATTCCAATTCCACAGCATCACTGGCACCCCTTTTTTAATTACCTCACCTCACCTCACCGCTCTACGCACTATGGTAGTAAGTAATACTTGAAGACGCGAGGTTACGTCAGGTCAGGTCAGGCAGGGTAAAGGGGACATATAGTGAATAGTATATAGCATATCCCATACCAATAACCGAACTAATCGACAATTTAATAGTACACGATCTGATCACCCACCACCCACAGCATTTCCACCCGAATTTCCACCCGAATTTTCACATTTTCAATATCTCCAAAGAAAATCGAGTACTAGTACTCGAATATATACTAGTATTTATTATAATTACTAATAAATAACAAGATAAAATTAGATAAATCACTCTTCAAATTGAAATAGTAAATAGGAAAATACTCAAGTAATAGCCTAGTAGGAATTCAAATATTTAGTCTTTCAAGTTAGAAGAAGCTACTCTACTCTACTCTACTCTACTCACTTGTATAGTATTTGGGGTTTGCGATATCGATAACTTTTATAATGGATGTGGATACATAGTATAGTCGAGTAGTTCTAGTTTGTTCTATACAAACACTAAACTAAAACTAAATGCATCTCATGTTATTTATTCTTAATTTACTGCTAGTGCATTTTCACTCCATCCTCATCCTCACCCTCACTTTATTCTATGCTTACTCCATCTTTATTCTTAATTTACTGCATCCTCACCCTCATTCTATCCTTACTCTATCCTCACTCCAATCCTCACTCCATCCTCACTCTATCGTCACCTCACTCCATCCCACTCATCCCCACCTCATCCTCACCTCATTCCATCCCACTCCATCCCACTCCATCCAACTCAAAATCCAGTTCTCAAAGCCCGCTCTCAAACTCAGCTCCCAGCCAACCAACCAACCAACTAGCCAATCAACCAATCAACCAATCAACCAACCAGCTAGTGACTATTCCAAACATCTAGTCCAACCATCTATTCCAAACATCTAGTTCAATCATCTAGTCCAAACATCCAGTCCAAACATCAAGAACAAGTATATGCACACATAATCATGACCATAACCATAACCATAGTTTCCAATCTCCAATCTCAAACTTCAACATCATAACATACCACCTAGCTCACAACCTCACCACCTCCTAACTTCTCATCCTAACCTCTCATCCTAAACCCTCATCCTCTCAACCGCATAACCTCCCCACCTCCTAGCCTCTTAACCTCTTTCTTCACCCCTGGTCATCCATCCATACCATACCATCCATCTATTTCTTCATCCAAGTACTCTATAACTCTAAACCCAAAAACACCATCACCATTATCATCATTATCATTATACCCAATACCCATACCATACCATACCCATAACATACCATACCACACCTTACAACCACTATACTATACTATACCAAACCCATTAAACCACCACACCATTACCCATACCATCCATCCATACCATTCATCCTAACCCCTCATCCTAACCCCTCATCCTAACCTCTCATCCTAACTTCCGCACCTCTCAACCCCAGGTCATCCATCCATACCAATGCCATCCATCCATCCATCCCATCCATCCAATCATCCAACCATTTCTCCATCCATACAAAGAAAAGAAAGATAGATACTTAGGGTATCACCTACATCACATCACATCACAGTACATCACCCCCATCACCCCCATCACATCACCTAAAATAACATCACCCAACTAATCAAGAAAACAAGAAAACAAGCAAGTAATCAAGTACATCACCCAACTAACCAAGTAATCAAGATACAAGTATCCAAGTAACCAAGCAAGAAAACAATTAAAAGATACCCCCCAAATCATTACCGACAAATTATTACTTACATCGATATCATCTATATCATCTATATCATCTATATCATCTAAACCACACACACACCCTTGGATATCACACACATAGGTAGTACTAGTAGAATTAAATCACCACCACCACCATCATCATCATCATCATCATCCATCTATTCATTCATTCATTCATTCATCATCACCATGCAATAATCAAACAATCAAGCAATCAATAATCAAACATTCCGCAAACAAATCAATCAATAAGGTAGATAGGTAAATCTTTGATTTTAAATATCATTCTCATCCTCAATTCTCATTCTCAACTCTCATTCTCATCCCCAATTCTCAATTCTCATTCTCATTCCTATTTACCAAAAAAAAAAGTGTGTTTATAAAATAATCGGGAATTTCGCATCTAGTAAACATCCAGCCCACATGCCATGGAATATACAGCCAAGCAAAACCGAGAGTCGAGTTCGTCGTCTTATTGATTTCGATCGAATCGACCACGGGTTCCCGATAGGCTTTCTTCAAATTCTCTCTGCTCTTGGCAAAAAAAAGGGGTATCTCGTCTAATAAAATAAAAACATTCTTCTACCAGAGAGAGGGAATGAGAAAGCCTGACAGTTCAAGAATAGAAAAATGGTTTCAAGGTTTGCTCCTGAAAATTGTTTATGCAGAGAGCATATATGTGCCAGCCTTACCAGCCATAAGTAATCCCAATTCGCGCATACGTTCTGCACCTTTCCCAGGCTGTGGTCTACGCTCTGATTGAGGTCTACGTGCACGATTGGCGCAATGCTTTTGATAGAATTTCTCCTTTCGTCTTTGTCGCTTCCGTTCAAGGCCCTTGACAATGTCGATGGCTCCTCGTAATGGTCCATCACCATCATCCCTACCTGCAATTTCGTTTGCTGCTGCGAGACGATTTGCAGTATATTGACGACAGAAAGCATTTGGAGTTCGAGGAAGAGACTTGGTATGAGTTAAACCTGGTCTAGATCCTAAAGGTGCAAACCTGATGGGTTTGCTTCCACTGATGGAAGGTGAAGCCGGAGGAGAATGTATTGCTTGTGTTGGAGGTGGAGAGCGTAGACGTCTTGGAGATTCATTTCCAAACAACTTTCGAGGTGGTGGTGATTGAAGACGTTTCTTGGGTGGGGGTGGTGACTGAAGACGTTTTTTGGGTGGTGGTGGTGATCGGAGACGCTGCTTAGGAGGTGGAGAACGAAGACGTTGTTTTGGTGGTGGAGGAGAATGTAATCTTCTGGGGGAATGACCTGGAGATCTACGAGATCTGGCACGACGACGTTCCGAATCGGAATCCTCGAATTTTCCTTGCATCCAAACATGTTCTTCGCTCTCAAAAGTCATCGGAACATCATCGACTTCATCTTCTTCATCCTCAGGATCCGAGGTTGGGAAAGATGGATCGATATCTTGAGGAGTAGCGATATGTTTAGCATATTTCCTGGCTGTCATACAAGAAAGATAAGCATCTTCGAGAGGACGATCTTCATCAAGTGTTCCACAAACAAAATCGGTACTATCAGGAAGATCTGGAGTCCCTGGGCGAATCTTAATGCTGCGAGTATTTTTGGTCTTTCGCTTCGCCCTAGACATATCTCTCAAAGGAGCCATGTCGTCGCTCAAAGATTCAATTGATGATGCCGAAGCAGTCCTATTTGCAGAGGCACGATAAGTGCTAACTTCAGCATTTGGAATTGGAATCCTTGCATTTTCGAATCTACCAGGAGTCCAGAAAGCGAAGTCACCCTCGGTATCATCCTCGTCATCAGAATCGGCGAAACCAGCTTCGTTATCTGTCTCATTTCCGTCCGAATCTTCTTCAGAATCAACCTGATCAGTCTCATCATCTTCATCATCATGTTCTTCATCGGAACCATCATCATTATCCGAGTCGTTTCCATCTTCAGAATCATCTTCATCATCTTCTAATGCCTCCTCCTCGGCTTCAGATCCTAGTTTCCGGAATTTGATCTCCTTCGCAAGGGTGTCATTAATGGTAATCTTCGCCTTTGGTACCTCTTCATCTTTGCGAATCCAATCATCCTCTTCGAAACCTTCACTGCAAAATTCGTGGAATCGGGCGGCTTCAGATTGTAAATCCTTTTCACCAGCAATGACATACTTTGGCTTGCATCTGAGTGCAACAGGACTTTGAGATGCACGTCTTATAGTCCCTGTGGATTCACGATGTGGGCGAATAGCAGATAAAGGAGTAGGTCTGGGCTTTCTCGTAATAGATGGTGACCGACTCGAGATGCGTTTTCGTGCTGGCGGGGTACCGAGCGCGAGAGCGATTCTCGACAAAAATACCTTTTCGGTAGGTTCCACCTTCTCTACAGCCTTTTCGACATTTTTTTCCGTAGGCTTAAAAGGACAAGCAAATTTGATGGTACTTGTACGCTTTGGAGCTTCGACAATAGGAGCTGCGAGTTCTAGCGGTTTCGCGACGGCAAATACCGCCGCCTTAGGAGCGGGGTCCTTTCGCGCATCGCAAGCGAAACTAATACAACGTTTCTTTGGGGCAGCTTCGAGATGTACCACTGGTGTTGCTTTCGGCGAAACATTGAGTGTTTCCGTGTGAACCGCAATGATCGGATCCGCCGCTTCATGAGATGTGACCGGAGTCGGTGGAGCGTAAGTTGGTTTTCGACTCATCGAATAGTATGATGTATTTGGAAATGGTGGACTAGGTGTATTTGTGCGGGTAGGACTTGTGAAACCTCCATCGCTAGTAAGTTCGGCAGTAGATGCAAGACTTGCTTGGCTTATCAAGGATCGTCGGCGCATTGAGTCGGTGGTAATATGTATATCAGGTTTTTGTGCCTCGGATTCCGGGCTCTTCAAAGCCCTCGTAAGGAGAGATACCGTTCGATCATTTGGAGGACGAATGGCAGCTTTTGTAAATTCTTTTGGTTGTAGTTCAGGAGGTTCATCGACGTCTCCAGGTATTATATCTTCATCACCAGTCGCTGACATATTGGAAGTAGATGTTGCTTGCGGACGCCATGTCAAGATATCTTGTCCCTCCATCGTGTGGTTCCGATCGTGATTGAGGTTCATTGTGAATGTATAAATTAGGTAGTTAATATAGGTATGATCGACTGTTGGTATATGATGGGTCGGAAAATGTCGTTATGTATAAATCGGGATGAGGTTCCCGAGGTGGTTGCGAGACCCCGAATTGAAGAAAAAGGTCGAGGTTTATGGTTGAAGATTCGAAATAGAATAAAGTGAAACAATCGAGTACTCTTGAGAAGCCTCACGGATAGGTAATTGATAAAGGTAAAAAAGAAAAAAATATGTGAAAGTTCGAGACGAAAGGATGAATGTTCGTCGTCAACTGCCTTTCCAAAGGAAAGCAAAGGTCAAGGAGGACCCGTTGGATTAAAGCGTCCCTAAGGACCGTATTGCTATAATTGTATAGAAAACATATTGTTTAAGAAAAGAGTTATCCAGGTTACTGCGAAGAAAGCAATAAAAGGAAAGAAAAAAAGTGGTGTCTTCCTTAATCGAAGGATTGTTGTTGGTAGAATAGAAAAGTGGTAGTGGTATACTCGAGTAAAGTTGGTTTCCACTTGAAATGTTCGTAAAAGTCTTCTCTTTGGTTGATACCAAAAGGTACAGGCAAGTTGAATATTTTTGGTGTTGTGTTTGGGGGTTTGTGCTGTACTGTGTTGTGCTGTGTTGTGCTGCGGATTTGATTGAATGACGTTCAAATGAGGGCTAGGATCGACTTTCAGGGCTGATCTTTCCACACAAATTTGAATAATTATTTAAATCGACTTGGCAGAATAACCGTTTCGTCCAACACAGCCCTTTGCCACTGCCTCGATTGTAAAGAGTAAAAAAGTAAAGAATCAAGAATTAATTAAAGCAAGAGACTCGAATTGTATGGAATGTTTTTTTCTTACGAAAGACTCGGGGTGTTGAGAGAGGAGAGGAGAGGAGAGGAGATTATTGTTGGTTGGTGATATGAAAATGTATGTAAAAGGGTTTGTAGGTGGGTGGTGGTGGAGGGTGGATGCAGACAAAAGAGGTGGGTAATACAAGAGGAGTAAGGTATGGAATAGGAATAATAGTGCCGGTAACTTATATAGCGGGATAGCGGGTAGCTACTAGCGAGTAGTTGAAAAGCTTTTTTTTTTCTTTTTTTCTTCTCTCTTTTTCTTTCAAGAAAGTGGGTTGGAATTGTGATTGTATTGTATCACTGTTGTGGGTGGGGGAGACTTGATATGTTGATTAGTGATTTTATTGCGGTTGCGGTCGTGAGTGAGTGAGATGAGTGATTTATTTATTTATTTGGTGGGGTTTTTGTGCGATGCTGGCTTACTATTATGGCTGGCTTTCCCTTTTCCTTGTCTTATTATGTGATGTTTCCGGGACAGATAATGGGGGTTAAGTTAGGTTTGGGGTTTGAAAGAGGCGAGACAGGCGAGGAGGGAAGGGGGAGGGGGAGGTAATTGATATCAAACAAATGACTTGAATAAATTTTGATATACTCGAGTACTAGTGATTTGAATTTCAGATGAAGATGATGATTGATATCAGTAAATGATGATTTTTACTTCATTAGTACAGAGCTTGTATTCTCTAGAACTCTCAATAAGCACGCAAAAGAACTAAAAGAACTTTCTTTCATTGAAGATCAAAAGATCTACCTACCTATACATAGCATAGCTTATATCGGAGGAACCGTCTCAACTTCTCAAATCAAAGCAACTAAAGAATCACGATACAATACAGCGTATTCATTACATTTTGATTCTACTTTATAGAGATTGGAGTAGGTATGTACTGACTGTATGCTCAGTATAGACCGTCACATCACTCTCTCCCACCCCAAAAAATACCACGTTCTTTGTCCTTCTTTCTCTCTTTCTCTATCTCTATCTCTCTCCCCCATCTCTATTTTTGATAATGCAGTGCAGGTGTTCAGAAATATCACAAAAGTGGATCCTGTGATATATCTACTAGCTAGCTTCATGAAGTTGCTTGCTGTTCGTTTCAGCTTGCTTGCTTTGAATAGGTAAGATTATGCCATGCATTTTTATCGAAATGATGATGATGAATGATGATGAATGATGATGAATGATGCTGCTGATGATGATCATGTATGTATACTATCTAGGTAGGTATTATTGTACCGGTAATAGTCAAGTCTCACTCATACTCATAAATACCAATACCAATACCAATACCCGACAAGTACAGTATGAAACATTCCTCATCATGTTCTAAAACTTTTCAATAATAACTTTGAAGGCCAAGTCAATAATACCGAGACGTAGGTATCAGCCAAGCAACACTTATCTTCATGCATGCCCGTTGATTTTCAACCTGTGCTATAGGATACAGAAAAGATGTACAAGTACATGCCATGCCATCCAAACCGCTCTCTGGAGTCTGAACGGCCTGAATTCGGAGAGATTTATTGAAAGAAATCCGGTTGACCAATTTTTTAACTAGACCTAAGGTTACCAGGTAATCTCACGATAACTTTTGGTGATTTGTTATTTGCTGTAACTACGAGTACTCGAGTAGAAGTTTTTTCTTTTCTTTCAGATCCATCTTCAATTTCCTCTTCTTTCGCTCTATCCGATTGCCCCCTTTATTTACTCATGTCATATCATAACATAACGTTTTCCTTTGTTCTTAGATGAGATTTTGGTGTTACAGTACAAAACAAGTACATTCAATTTGTTCCTTGTTCCATTCCATAGCTTGGATTATTCAGCAATCCATCATCATACATTATTCATCCTATTTCAATCGATTCTATCCGAATGCATCTACATCTACTGTACCTACTACCTAGGTATCATATCATATTCATCAACGCAATTTAACCAGCCAGCCGCGGCAACTCCAATAAAACCATATCATATCATTTGTAGCTCACAAGTTACATCCATCCATGGATTCGTGCATCTCTTAAGTCTTGGCACACATGCAAGAAGCCATCCATCCTCCGCTTCAACTCCTCTCCAGACTTTTCTGTTTTTCTCTATGAAACGCTATCTATGCTCTCTCCCAGAGTCCAGCCTCTCCTCCTCCAAATCCTCTCCTGCAACATGGGAATGGATGGATTGGATATGGATGTAGATTCTCTTTTTGGCCATCCATCTACCGGTATTTCACGCTTTTCACCTAATATAATATAATATTCCCCCCTCTACTGCTTTCACTCTAAACTCCACCAAAACCCAAACCCCAACTTTATACTTTTCCTTACTCATCACGCTCGTTTCAACCACATTACATTCGTCATAGGTAACTCATTAGTACTTAATTAAGTTAAATAGATAGGTAGATACCTAGGTACAAAGGGTCCCATCTGCATCCTTCTGCCGCACAAGAAACGTGCTGTACAGTAAGTACTGTATGTACCATGAAAGTATATCTTGTAAGTCACGTCATATCATGTCACACAAGTCACATTCGCCATTACTCACTCTCGCTCACTTATACTAAATACAGTATGGGCTCGTGATACCATCATTCAAATCCCATCCCACCCCACCTCATCCCACCCTATACCGATATCATCCAAAAGTTATCCTTACTCGAAAAGGATCCGAGTTCCTTTCCTTTCCTTTTCACTGAGTCGCTGACGACATTTCGTTTCGTTTCGAGTGATAGATGAAATCGTATTGTAGATATAATACCGCATAAACTCATCGATAAGAGATGCCAAGAGTCCGTGCGTTTTGGGCGGTGAAGGGTTCTGCCCTATGCATCCTTTAACAGATTTTAGTCTTTTGTGCTTATTAAGCATAGTATTAAGGAGGAGGATATATAAGGCGGAGAGCCCTTCACCGCCCAAAATGCACGGACTCTTGGCATCTCTTATAGATGAGCCTTATGCGGTATGCCGGGCCGGAGTAATATCTCAATCGGATCGGATTGGATTGGATTAGATTAAGAGGAGACGAGAGGAGAGGAGAGGACGAATGAACCAATAGTAATCCTGACTTGGAATATAACTAGGTATAGGTACATAACACGGATATAACTAACTAGGACTTTGACCGCTAAATATACCCCACATCCGATGGGACAGAAATGTATCGGTTCGGTTCGGTTTTCGAGTTCTTCTATTCCATTCAAAAGATTGAAGAATCACATATAATTGATTGGATGAAAAGAGAGTGTAAGATATGGATGGGTATTATTGTACAAGTACTCGAGTATTACAACACTATAAGGCTCGAAAAATTAAAGTCTTAGTCTTACTTTTTCCGTGCTCGGCTCCGGATTGTTTAAGCCTTGAGAATAGGATAGTCTATATGTACTGTACCGGCCGGTACAACCTCTACTACAATGCTAGAATGCTACATATACGAAGATGTGATATGATATTTCTTCATATACGGAGATATTCACTGTACAGTATATGTAACAGTAACAGTATCCTTCTTCTCACCGCTGGGAAACCGGCATTGGCATTGGCATTCATATTGATGTTAATGCTTGCTTGCTGGCATAAGATATGAAATGTACTGTTGTGCTATGCTATGCTGGCTTATCTCGAGACTCGACGAGAGTGGCAATGGGTGGATGGGATGGATGGATGGATGATGATGATGATGATGATGATGATGACTGAGCTGAGTACTTGTGAGAGGAGGGTTCTCTTTGGAGTAGGTAGGTAAGTACTTAGATGCAGGTTATGTAAGCAGATGAAGAGGTAAAGATGAAGAGATGAAAAGGAGGAAGTTGAGTGAAGTACAGTACGGTATAGGTATAGGTAAGCTTTTATTACTTACTGTACTGGTAGTGTATATATCTGCTACAGTAATATCATATCATATCATCTAATATTTCATCTGAATTTCTATTCTTCTTCTTCTTCTTCTTCTTTTTTATCTTCTTCAGCCTCATAATTTCACAATCACACAGAAAACCGGTAATCTTACTCATATATACAGACGAAAAATGCACATGCACATACTGTACATACAGTAGAACTTGTTTATACCGGAACGAAAAATTCGACCAATCATATCCGGTATAAAAAGGTTTCCGGTATACCCAAGTTTGCATAAAATTTTATACAAATATATTTAAAATAATCATATGATATTGGAAAATATAATATAATTAGGCCTATTCAGCCAATAAAATCCTATTATTTATACCGGATTTTCGAAAAAGCTGTACAGCATTCCGGTATTAGCTAAAAATCCGGTATCACTATACAAAAATCAGAGAATTCGATAAATTATTGCGGTATAACCAGGATTCCGGTATAAACAAGTTCTACTGTATATACACCGCTAAATTTCAGCCCCCTTCACATCCCATCCCATCCCATCCTTCACTACTATACTCTCTAACTTTGAGATCTCATCTCACATCACCCAATTCACCGCCCTACAAACCCCCCTGACGGGTAACAGACAAAATTTGACACGTTCCATAAATAGCCCAGAATGAACGAATTTCCTTCCTTCTCGATCGCATCTAAGCATCTGAATCAAATCCATCAAGATTTTCAGACGAATATATCCCTATCTGGAAATTTGATCTGGATCAATGTTCGTCTTATACACCGTGCATGCCTTATTGTAATTAGGATTAGGATCTGTTTTAGGATATATGGCGATCTTTATATATCCTGCCGTGATATCGATGATCGGTTTTTGTTTGGGGGATGGAACAAGATGAATGAGGTCTTGGTAAAACACACTCTTGATAAATTATAAATTATCAATTTGTAAATACTTGGTGATTCAATAGTGAACCACCTATAAATACGGTACGGGTACCTGTATACATCTCATAGCATAAAAATCATATTATATATATGTTATGCCACACCCGCTCAGCACAGCAAGCACAGCAGACCAACCCATAATAAAGAGTTGATCTACACTTGGTATTTATTGTCTTCACTTCACCAAATAGGGCCTTTGATAATTGATCCGATCGGGGCTTTGAATTTAAGTTTGAGCAGGACGGGAGTCAGGTTAGGCTAGGCTAAGTTGGGGGGTTCCATAATGGACCCCCAATTGAAACTGGGGCTTTGGAAATTGGTTGGTTTTTCTAAAGCTAGAGTAGTACCGGCCGGTAGAGATATTCGAATATATATGAGGGATTTAATATTTACCAGTGGAAGGTTCATGGATGCGGGGGTGGACTTGTACGTTGTACGCTGAATGCTGTATGCTGTACGCTGTACGCTGTACGCTGTAGAAGTGGTTCTTGTATCAAAGTTGTATGGAGTACCGGTAGAGAAGGGACGAGGAGAGATTCCGCACTGGAGGCTTTTGCTTTTCGATTTTGAACTTTTCGATTTTTGAATATTGGTTGGTGGTGTTTTGGGTTGGGAAAGTATTCATAGGAAGATTGTGAAAGGAATGGAAGGTTGACGAAAAGTTCGCTTTTGATGGGGATCCTGCGCTGCGGATTCCGGATTTGACCGAGATAATTAGTAAGCAGATGCTGATTAGTAATCATATGTGAGCATCGAGATATGATAAAGACTCGTGATTCGATCACACGTGATTTTTTTGAATATGTGAAAAGTATCCTCTCTCAAATCGATTGAAGAACTGCTCGATGATAACTAGTATGTTCCATGTAACCGCTGGAATTAAAAGCTATATCTGTCGTTTCCCAAAAGTACATACACGTGATCTACAATCAAGCTAAAGAAAATAGTTAGCGAAAGCCATCCGACATCAACAAGCAAGCTACCACGCACCCCCTCGTAACCCAACGCCTAACACCCCAATTGATACCTCCACCCATCATGAACTCCATGCGTTTTGCTCGCGCCGCTCTGCGGGTTCGTCCTACAGCTTTGAAAACTCCTGTGATGTGCAGAGGGTATGCGGAGGCAGTTGCGGATAAGGTCGGGAGTTCCCGTTTTGTTTTTATGGTTTGGGGATTGGGATTTGGTTGCGGATATGGGAAATTTGAGGAATATATGTGCTGATTATCTGGTTGGAATAGATCAAGTTGAGCTTGGCTTTGCCTCATCAGGTATGTGCGGATTTGTTTTATGGTTGTGTAAAGGGAGGGGGGATGGATAGGATCGTGGAAAGGATGGGCTTGGATTGGATGGAGAGGGGGGAGGAGGGGAGGAAATCGCGGAAAGATTGGCAGATGGGGAACCGAAAAGAATACAACTAACAGATATACCGGCAGTCCGTCTTCAAATCCCAAGATGTCGTCCAAGTCAACATCCCCGCTGAATCCGGTGAAATGGGTATCCTCGCCAACCACGCTCCATCCATCGAACAGTTGAAGCCAGGTCTCGTTGAGATTATTGAGGAGAGTGGTGGAAGCAAGCAATTTTTCCGTACGTTATACAACAAATACGCGGAATATTTCGGAATGTGAGGAATATAAGAGGCTAATAGGTTATCCTTATAGTTTCTGGAGGATTCGCAGTCGTTCAACCAAACTCTTCATTAAGCATCAATGCAGTAGAGGGATTCCCATTGGAGGATTTCAGCGCGGATGCGGTCAGGTCACAAATTGTTGAGGCTCAGAAGATTGTTGGAGGAAGTGGAAGTGAGCAGGATATTGCTGAGGCCAAGATTGAGTTGGAGGTGGGTTTTCATGTCTTGGGTTTACGGGATAGAGACTAACGATATTTCTAGGTTTTGGAGAGCTTGCAAGCTGTCCTCAAGTAGAGGAATTAACCTACCTTGGTGATGGTTAGATGATAGAGACCTGCACAATGTATATCAGTGAACTATTTTTTATTGTGTTGTGTGAAAATAAGTATCGAGGCTTTGAGATTGATGAAGCCTGGTCAATTTCATACCGATGTAAGACCCTTGTCAATTGTGTTTATAGTGGCATTTTTGTAACTTTATCATGAACTGAATGGCTGAGGGGGTGTGTTTGTTAGAAATACCAGGCTTTCAAATGATAATAGGTCGTGGATATAACTCAAGGGCAAACTGTATTGCAGATTCTGTATATGATAGCTACCCAGGCTGAGATTGCATATGGTCGTTGATCGTTCCTGCCTTTCTAGGTGTTAGGTTTTTCTCCTAAGAGTCACTAGCTGCCAATCAAAGTACTCAAATCATAGTCTCCATTTTCATATCATCATCTTCATCTTTATCTTCCTATTATGGTTATCCTTTTTACTATTCCCCTCAACCTTCATCAAGCGCAGTGCCTCCGTACATACAGTCGTTACATTTATATAGCACTATTTTCATCCTTATGTCGAATCCACCCCCTGATCCAATGCATCCTATAAATTATCAACTGCCATGAACAATCCTTGGCGACCAGCTGCAGCTCAAATTCCAAATGCCGATTCTGCGGCTTCCAATTCCTCGTCATTTCCTAGTGATCGTCTTGCTGCTAAAAATCTTCCCATTACCGTGGGAATTGTCGCTTCTCGTATTTCATTTCTTCAAAGGCTTGCGGGCAACCAAAAAAATAAGTCACCACCCAAAACACCTCCTGAATTTCCACATACAAGATCGATATCGAATACAAGACGAGAGAGGAGCAATAGGTCACCTCCTCAATCAAGGCCACCGTTAAACAGGAGAAGAGAACATTCTCGTTCTAGCTTCGGTCGTCGACCAACTAACATCTTTGGAAATCCAGCTTCTCGAAATTCGCAACCAAATGAACAACTTCACACTGGGACGAATCATTCCTTCTTGGGTTTACAAACAACGAGATTGAATCATGACGAGGGCCATGCTAGAGCTGATTATAGAGGTACACCACGGATCGATGGATGTATTGGGCCTCCACCGGGTGGTTTGCGTGGCATGGTTCAAGCAGACGCTCCTACTAGTGGGTGGGCTCCCATCATCGAATCGTTAAAAACGCCGAACAAAAGTCGCAATCAAAAGACTCCTCGCCACAAAGTTGATATTCACAGAGGCTTTCAGCGTTTAAAGGACACTTTTATGTCGACACAATTGCCACCGACCCCTCAAGTTTCTAACAAACAAAATAGGGTATCGAGTCCCCATCGCCAAAAGAAATTACCACACCAATGTGAGCTGGCCAATTCCGAAACATCTGTACACACAACATCAACACTTCGACGGCAAAGCGTTCGGGATTTGTTTGATACATACAATATTGAAAGACCAGTTGGACTTGCCTCATCCGAAGTGGTGCATGGAGTCAATAAATCTCAGAGACATCGAGTCTGTCATCTGTGTATGTGGATTCATGATAAGAACGAGAACACCTGTTGGAAATGTGGGCATCGGCTATGTAAAGCTTGTGATAGACTGTTACCGTCTTCAAAGGGAGGCAAAGATGTGAACTTTGATTACAATCAAGTTCTTTCTGGCACTCGACCGGAGCCATTGAAAACAGGCCCTTATATAACAACACCTCGACCAGCAAGAGGGCAAATAACAAAACTGTTGAGGCCATTACCGCTTCCATCAGAAACGGTCAAGAAAGTTGACCAACAGTTCATTCCGACAGAACCTTTTCCTCCATTCTACCCTAAGAAATCGCCACCACAGAACAGTCCGAAAGCCGGACATGGCCCAACTTCAGCACCCGGTAGACTTTTACATTCATGTCCTGGTATTTACATACCTGAATATTCTCGAAAGCTCATGTCTAAACCTGATGACGCCTCTCAACCACAACGCTTACATTCTATAACGGAGTCTTTGTGTCAACACATCACCAACGAGCATAGATCAGAATCACAGTCATCGCAAATGTATGATTGCAGATGCGATAGTTGTCAAGCTATTGATGATGGAAGCTTTATCTGTCGACACCCCACCTCTCCCTCACTGGCCCGAAGTGATGATGTGGTAGCTATGAATGGTGGCTACACAACTGATAATGGCAACAATGAGAATATTTATCGCTCTCGATCTCATCCTAACCCTTCTAAATTTGTAGATTCCTCCACGAGATTACACCGACTATTGAAAGGATCCATCCATCGATCAACACAACTCTGCCATGATTCTGACCATCGTGAAATTCCTCGGACTTCCATGAGATCATGCCAGTTCGCAGGTCCAGTACATCGAAACACACAGCTTAGCCATGAACTGGATCATGAAGATCACGCAAAGACCACAAGGCCTTCGACGGATTCATACCGCGTTTTGAATCGATCGACATATCGACCAACACAACCCAATTATGAATCAGATCACATAGAAGACTCCAAACTCCTAGACAACTTCTACCCGTTTTTCAACGGACCAATACGCGGAGCGGTACAATCAAATAATAGGTCAGACTATGTTGAGTGCCGTGGTTATCCTCGAACTGGTCATGGGCATTGCGACCGTAGTCCTGTTGATTCGGGCATTTTGGGTGACTGTCAACACTGCTTGGATGATTGTGAGTGCTCTGCATGCCAGAGTACCGTTCATAGTGTTCGGTGTTGCACAAATGAGGTTCATAAACCTATGATTCATCTTCATCGTAGTCCGGCAAAAACCTCACTCAATGCTTCAAACGTTTCGGATATTGGTCATAGCAGTTTAGAACAGAAGCGGAAACCTTACATATTATCTCGTTCTCAAACCTATGATCGTTCAACACTTCATAAGTACGACAATGTTTCGGAATGGCTAGAGAGTCCCGATGATCTTTCACTTCAAAGACCTGACAGCCCCATAGTTACTCCGACCAAGGCTGTTCACGCATCAAAAGCCGTTCCATCCATTGCTGTCGGAAAGGCTAGTAATTCGTCATCGATACCTCAGACTCAATCAACCTGTGCCCCATCATTAGGACCGATGATATCAAATGATACCGTACCATTAATCAAGAAAGCTCTCAACCAAGTTTCACAAGATGCCGTCTCGAAAGCAGGTATAAACCCAAATCGTGCATCTTCCAGTGATGGCACCAAGGATCAATCTATGGCACCCGTAAGATCAAGTAGTCGATTCCCCACAAACTCTTCCCCAGGCTATTTCGCATCTAATCCCTGGCGACAGCAAGAAGCTGTGAGTTTCCCAAGAAGTTATTCTTTTTGGAAGCAGATGTCAAACTCTCCATTGCAACAAGTATCCAGACGTTCAACTGATTGTGAGACATCAGATGTTTGTGGGCAATCGGAATGGGCTGAACAGAGGCTAAAGAGTTCTGAATCTATTTCACGGCAAAAATCAAAAGGAAGATTCGAACAAGAACAGGTGAGAAAAAAGGTTCATCAATGGGAAGATAGGAGGTCGGAGACTAGGCGAGGAAGAGATACAATTATTACCACTACAAGTGAGATGGCAACACCTAGTGGAGGGTATTTCGATGCACATATGAGGCGGTGTTCTAGTGGGAGTGTACAGAAAAAGCGTTATGAGGTACAAGGGGGTATGGGATCAATTGTGGAGGAAGATGGGGAAGAGGAAGTTGTGGACGATGATGATGATGATGATGATGTGACACACGATTGTATTTGGAGGAGGGCGATGGATATTGATGAAGGGGGTAGATATCATGAATCTAGGGATGAAGGACCTGGTGGAACAGAGGGTATAGGTGTTGTAAAGGGGGTTACGGTTTTGATTCATATGGAGATTGGTGAGGATTTGGTGCTGAGGACGAATATGGAGGGTGAATTGAGTTGGGAGGGTTTGGATAGGTTAATGAGAATTGGCAGGGGGGTTGGAGGGATACGTTGATTAGGATGGTCGGTGTGGTAGATGTGGTGGGTGGATGATGATATTACAGTTTGCTTTTAGGTTATACTGTATTGAGTGTCGATGAGTTTGAATAGTGGTGTTAGTGGTGGATGATTCGTTTCTTTTAGGTTACTGGATCAAAAATGATGAAATTGGAAATGACTTTTAGGTCCGAAGCGGTGGGGAATGGAGAGACGGACGAGTAGTTAACCAGAATAAAGGGATTTTGGGATAAGGATGAAAAGGAAGTTTGGATACTTGGATACAGTTTTAGTCTTATCCTTTATGTCCTCTAGGTTGTGGTTTAGGTGTAGGTTTAGGGTTAGGTGTCTTTCTTTCGAGCGGAATATATACCTAATTGCTATGGAGTGTCTTGTATCTTGAAGTCTTGATTGGGTTGATTGGATGGGTTAATTTAGGATTGATATGGTAGAGTAAGTGTTGAGTTGATGAGTGGAATGGAGTGGAGTGGTTGGAATTGGATGGATGGATGAATGAATGGATGTATTGGATCTGATGGATCGGTGATTGGTAATAAATGTGAGATGTGAGATGTGAGAGATGGAAATGAAAGTAGAAATGGAAATTGAGGTAAGGTCAGGAGGGGAGAAGAAAGAAGAGGTAGGGTGAGGATAGGTAGGGTGAGGAGATGAGGTGAGGTTATTGATTGATTGATGATTTTACTTGATGGAAATTTAGGGTTTAGGGTTTGGAATTGAGGGTTTGGGATTTAAAGGCGGAAGTGACGGATGGATATTATAGATAAGATCTTGGGGTGGGATGGAATGGGATTTTGTTTTTGTTGGAGTGGAGGAGAGAGGAGAGAGGAAAGAGAAAAGAGGCGGGGGGAGGGGGGGAGGGGGGGGCAAGGGAGGAAAAGGGGGGGTGAGGGGGGACGAGGGATGGAATAGGGGGGATGAGGGGGGAAGAGGGTGGAAGAGGTAGGAAGAGGGAGAAGGGAGGGAGGAGGGATAGAAAAGAGAAGAGGGAGGAGGGAGGAAGAGGGATGGAAGAGGAACTTGACTCTTGAGGTTGTTGGGAGTGTTCGATGAGGAATGGTATGTTATGTTATATTATGAATAGGATAATATAGAATAGGATTGGGACTAGGATCAGGACTAGGATTATTAGGCTAGGAATGAGGTAAGAAGGCATGGGAATCGATGAGAATTTTGAGAGAAGTGAGAAGGAAGGGAAGGGAAGGGAAGGGAAGAGAAGAGAGTGAGTAGGTTAAATTGAAGAATGAGTGGGAGTACAAATAGGAATAGGAATATATTTATTGCTAAAGACATGTACGAGTATACCGTATACTTTTGGGAAATTCGGTATGTATATACAGGGTTTAGTGATTTAGCAGCCAGTTAGTATGCATATGGGTAAGGGTTCGGGGGGTTTTTTGGAATCGATTAATAATCAAAATTTCAATTCATTCTGAATCCCCTCATATATCAAACAATGAATAATGATATTTTGATTGATTTTTTTTAATACAGGTTTACTAGATAATAAAGGTATATTGAATATAAGTTTATAGATTTATATAATCAATCGTTATTGAATTGTAGTAATTTTGAATTATAGCTTAATTCGGAAGTTGATATCACGGGATCCTAATAATAGGAATGAGGCTTGAAATGATGCAAGCTAACTGGCCGCTAAATCACTAAACCCTGTATATACATACCGAATTTCCCAAAAGTATACGGTATATGTATAAGAGATGATGGGATTGTGGATAGTATATCTATCTATCTAATGATCTCGACCTCGTCTAACCCCCCACCACAACCACAACTCTCATCATCATCAAAAATCCACCACAAACCAACCCTTCATTACTCCAACCCAATTCTTCCAGCCATCACAAAAAAAAGAATCATGCATTCAATTCCATATCCTTCCCTTAGAGCCCAAAAACATAATGCGTTCGCCGGGAATCGAACCCGGGGCCATTGCAAGTGAACAAGTTATCACATGAAGTAATCTTGGCAAGCAACGATTTTACCACTAAACCACAAACGCAGGGTATTGTTGATGTTATTGATGAAGATTGATGAGGTATTTAACTATCTATTGGCAGGCTGGTAGGGGGGGAAGGGGGAAGAAAAAGTTTTCATGGCGGAAGTGCGAAAAGTGGGGAGGTGGGGGTGTTGGTGGGGACGGGACTATATTCGGTACGAATTGCACTCATCAGGTAAACCAGCATGTACCAAGGGAGTAACCTAGTTTTCTTAGTTCCCGAGTTACGGACTTTCTGGCGATATAAGTACTAATTACAATCGTGATGAGATTATTGTTGATGGTGAATGGATTTGAATACAATATCTATTTTTGAACCTTTGATTGAATATTTCTAGTATTTGAGGAATAAGTGTTATTGATTATACGAGTAATATAGAATATATAATCAAGACTTGGAAACTTTAAAATGCGTTATAAATCTGGATTTCAACTTCTCGAGATTCGATTTCAAGCATAATCGATAATCAGATTATCTCTTATTCACCACAATATCACCAATTGTTCAATCTTTGGAAACCAGGATAATCTATAATATACAGCAAGTATTTAACTAAGAAAACGAAAATCTATAACTACGTTAGTTAGCCTATATCGTAATAACTAGTATAGTTAACTATCACTATATCATTATCATAGTTTATATGATATTATAGATACTGAATATAGAAGATATATTAGGAAGTAAATATCAACTTTCAGTAAGTGTAATTATTCTAATCCAAATACAAATTAAAGCTAAATTTGGAAATTGAAACAATCTATCATATTAGCTTCAGGCTTCAGATATAAAAGATCGAGAATTCATTCCTATCTATCGTTGAGTTGAGTAAAGAATTCATTATGGAGCAACATTTCTGTGAGCTTGATAATGAACTCTAGCTAATTAATGAACTCTGATTTGAAGAAGTTTTGAATAAAATATTGATTACAGACTGGAGTGTATATCGTTCGCTTTGCTCTGGTTTCTGGTTGAGATTTGACTATTTGCTTAACCAAATCTTAAACATAAGGTTACTAATTATAGGAAATAGAAAGACAATCTCTACTATATGATTCTAAACTTAAACAGAACTGGCAGTACAAGTTCCCCTCCCTCCTTTTCAGTTATACATTTCATATTTGCATCTTATCCACCTAACATTCTACAACATGCTTCAGGTCATACATACATGGTGTATGAGCTACAGAGTATCTCTCTTCTATACCCTGATACCTTGGTATTGGTATTGGTATTGAAATTGAGTTATACTTTCAAGATTTCAATTACGATGAGAAAGCTGAATAAAGAAATTGTTGGTATCACCGTGGTGGTGATGAAGTGTCAATAGTACTATCGTGTTTCACGTGTTTGTATTGCCTTAAGGAACTAAACTATGAAGATGCTAATGCTAAAAGATATACGCTCCGTGGTGGTCAAAGCGTCGCTTATTGCCCTAACCCTTAGCCCTACCGCTCACTACAGTCAAGTGAGTGATATCCAGACAAAAAATCTATTTAATACCATGAGATGAGATAGGAAAGGATTTCCTCGCCAGTGTCATTTTGTAATGTTGAATATATAAAGGGTAGATGTATATTTGTTAGAAAGTCATGGGTACTACAGATATCACAACACTGCCCCTCTTCTATATTCATTACTAGTATACATCTTGTTTACTTATACACTCAATAACATAGCTTAGATTTTATACCTAAATATAATCTATATACATTTCTAACAGATTATAAAGCCCAAATTATCGATATCTCTACATAATTTGTAATATCAATCAACTTAACTTAAATAAAATCTTTATTTCCCCTTTTATTCTTTTATTTATATATTCCTTAGTTCAATTGGTTAATATAATGTTATCAAAATCTATTGATAC